ATGAAAAGATAGCAGAAAAGGGGTCCCCTTGCCTAATCCCCTTTGTGGAGTCACTTTTTGTCACACCCCTAAACTGCCAAAGTGTGATAGGCCAGAGTACAAGAAAACTCATATTTCATAAACCTAAAGCCTTAACATATGTAACATATTAATTACATTTTTATCACACAATCATTATTTATACTAAGCAACTATTAATAGGAACAAAATACTTAAGCTTGTTGTGGAAATCTTAACAAAATCTCTATTATAAGTTGGACTTCTCAAAATCTCTACAACCTACTAAAAAAAGAATATACAACCAGCATTCAAAGTTCTACTCTATTCAATATATATGTACATTCAAACCAAATGCTTTAAACAAGGTTCTTGCCTATAAGATTCATGGAGTGCCCTATAACAAAAAAACATACATAAATATTTACATTAATCCACAGCGTAATTAAAGCACCAAAATATTTCTTTTCTCAAGAGTCCCATGAGGTCAACTGAAAAGCAGTCCACTTCTATTAGCTGAACACCAAAAACTTCTTCAGTAAATAAACGTTCTAAAACAATAATAAGTAAAATGAAAATCATAAACATAAACAATAGGAAACAAGTTATCTAATTACCAATGGTATAGATAAAAAACATCACAATTTATTTTTGAAAATTGAGTACACAAAATAAAAGAAAAAATAGATAATCATAATCAACCAATTAAAATATAGCTTTTATATTAAAACAATTATGAAAATACAATTCTTAAGAGCAAAGATATAACTAAAAAAACTTAGTTTCTATTAGGACTTAAACATAGCGAATAACGATATGGACAGACAATCCATGAGAGAAAGTAACATCTAGCATGTTTGGAAAGTCACAAAAAACAGGCACAAGTATAAATCTCATGAATAACAATTTTGGATTATATTCACGAAATTTAATCCTTCCCCCATGTATATTGGTGATATACGAGGCTAGCACCTTCTATGCACCCCACTAATTAGGTATGCCATGACGTGTTAAGAGCTAACAAAACTGTCATTAGCAATCAATATTCTGTATTTGATCCCATAAAATATTTTTGGCATGCATGGAAACTGAAAGTCCTTTGAGTTCAAACTATCCTTTATTTATAAGATATAAATGCTATTTTCAAAGTGATTTGTCCAGTCCATGCATATATAATACCTTTAGGAAAGTAAATATCATAAGAAATGTTATACAAATCAATTCATGGCTTGAATAAACTATTTTTGCATTTTAAACAAACTTAATCATAAAAGTAAAAGAAGAAAAATCTATCCAAAATAAAAGAAAATGAGGTAAGTGAAAGACATTCACTCCATCCACTGGGAACGTTATCTATTTACCTGATATCCAGTAAGTCTTAAAATTCCCTTCTTACAACTTCAATCAAGTTTTTTTTTTCTTCTTCCAAAAACCCTATCAAACATATATGAAGAATTTAATAGACTCTCTATTACAAGTTAAATAAATTTTCTACTAATATTATGCAGTCATACTTTAAGTAACAACATTTACATAGACCATGTTTAATTACTCAATTAATCTATAGCCCTTGTATCACACTTATTATTAATACTTGCATGCACCAATATTTCATACTGAATTACCAACCTTATTCCTCTTCTAGCCCCTTTTCCACAATATTATTATATCCATATTCAAATTATAGAGCTTCCCAAATTCATTCCTTATAAAATTAGTTTAAAGCTTAGGAAAAAAAATTTAATCCCTACTACCAAACACAAGCAGCACCTTAAAAAGAGGGAATATCAAATTTCAACAATTTAACACAAACACACACATATGAGGGAAAAAGGGAGGTGAGATTCACTTACCAGAAGAGTAAATGACACTAAACCAGGAAGAAGAATAATCTAGCATTGAGAAGGAAGAGAGCCAAAACTTAGCTCACACACACACAAGCCATGTATAGAGAAGAAGAAGATTGAAGCTTCTCACCAGCCACACAAGCACAGAGACAATGTAGAATAGGGGAGAGTGTCTGAATGCTACTGTTGCCTGAAGGAAAAGAAGACAAGAGGTCGATGAAAAAATAAGGGAGAGGACAAACTCGTGGCTCAAACCCCAATAACAGTGAATTAATGATGAGCCCGAACACTAGCAGCAAACAATGAAGAAGAATAAAGATGACAAAGGATGGCAGGGGCTTTGGGTTCAAAATTTCTCATGGTCTCAGGCTGATTCAAAGAAATAGGGAGAAGGAATGAAAGAAGAGAGAAATGGTGAGGTTTTGGACAATGGGTTGTGAACATTCTCTCTCTCTTCTCACCGTCGGTATTGTGTAAATGAGAAGGAAGGGAGAAGGAATTGGAAAAAATCTCCTACTGCTGCTTCTTTTTTATTATAATTTTGGTAGGGCAAATGAGAAATTTCTTAAAGCTAAAAAAATGCTCCCCAATGCAATAGATATTCGAACCTAAAACTGGAGAATATTTGTCTAATAAGGGTCCACTAAACCATCACTTCTTTTATCTAAATCATATAAAAATAATATCAAAATGTCTTAACTTAACTTTTAATTAATTAATTAATTTTTTATAATTATATGGGACATAACAACTTTAGAGATCTTCCTACCTAATAACAGAAAATTAAAGTGTACAGAAGTAATACACGCCATAATTTTAGCAACACAATGCTCAAAGAAACCTAGTTTTAAAAGCATAACTTGAAGAAAGTTTCATTCAGCATGGTCAAAGGCTTTATTTAGAGCTGATAATTTGGGTCGAGCCTAATGGGCTAGCCTGAACCCGCCCGAAAAATTTAGGGCCAAGCCAAAAGAAAAAATTATTTTTTTATTGTTTGAGTCTATTCGGGCGGCCCGAATAGGCTCGAGAAAATTCAGGCCAAGCCCGATTGCGTTCAAGCTTGGCCCGAATACCCGAATAAAAAAATATTAAAATATATATAAAATATGATAAATATTAATTAATTTTTTAAGTCTTATATCATTTTATACCAAAATACTATATATATAGTGTTTTAATGTAGTTATTTTTTAAAAAATTAAAAATAGTTATATTTCATATTTTTATTATTTTTAATCAATAAAATATCTCAAAGTAATATTTAAAATATATTTTAATATTAATTTTAATATTTTAGGACCCAATTTTTGTTAAAAAAAAAATTTGAGTCCTATAAATCATTTGCATATAAAAAAATAATTTTATATTTTTATAAATTAAGATAATTAATTTTAAAGTAAAAATAATTTTAAAAATAAAATTTAGACATGCACAAATTCCCGACTCTACTATTAGATAAACATAATAAATAGAGTAATATTCTTGAATAATTACTTAGTTATTGTCCATGCTAGATTTGATTAAAAATTAAGTGTAAATTAGAATAAGAATTCCTTTTATGTAAGAGTTAAATAATATAAAAGTTAAAGAAAAATGATTTCAAAAAATAATATTTTACTCATAATTAAATAATTTTTTTATATAATATAATGATGGCAATTTTTTTTTATATTCATAAAAATGAAAAGTACAATTTACCTAAAAGTTATTAAAAATTTTGAACTAATCGAGATAATAATTTTAAGTTAGTAGTCTAACTGTGATTGAATTGAAATCAATTTAATCATAATTAAAATAATATAATTTTATTAAATATATAAAAATTTATATATGACTATAATAAGAGTAATATTTAAATAACTAAAACATTAATTTACAAGTAAAGGAAACATTCATGTATAAATTATACATAATATAATAAAATAAAAACAGAGCTATTTAAATACAAAGTTGATAAGTTATTTTTTATTTTATTCTTTTAAAATTAAGATAATATTTTACGCTTAATAGAATTATTTAAAAATTAAAATTGGTTCAAAAAATAAAGAAAAAATATTTTTTAAAAGTTTTGGGTATTCGGGCCAGCCTGAATAAGCTCGAAACCCGAAAGTGTTAGGGCCGGGCTTGGCTATATAAACTTTTTAGAAGAGGTAGGATGCTTTAAGCCTGATCCGAATAAGCCCGACCTGAATTAAGCTCGAGCCACCCAAATTACCGGCTCTAGCTTTATTCATATCTATCTTATAATGTTCGCCTTAACATTATCAATTAATCACCTCAACTTACCACACAAAGGTAATTAGAAATCATTAAACTCCTACATTTACCATAATCAACAAAGGTTAAACTATAGAAAATAAATCGTTGAAAATGTTTAGGATCTCAACTTCTTTTAAAAGATAGGTTAAAACTCAAAATTATAGGTATTTGTACACAATAGAAATAAATAGGAATGCAAAATCATATTACATAAGGAAACAAGGGCAAAAATGTTATTTTTGCCTATTCAAGCACATATGCCTTAACATATGGCACATAAAATGTAGTTCTCATTTTGTACATGCTATGGTGCGCATGACAGCATTTACTGTCATGACAGCTCATTTGTAATGAACTTTTGATGTCCCCTATTTTCACATATGAGGTTTGATTGAAGTAATTTAAGTACTTATACGTAGCTTATTTCATAATTTAACTAATAAAATAAGTTTCACTTCATTCCAATATTTCATTTGAAAACTGAACACCCTGATGCAAAATAACATTTTTATGTCATTTCTTGGCAACCAAGAGTCCTATTTGCCAAACTTGTATCATTAGTCATTTTCAAGCCTCAATCAGATCCAATGGGACAATATTCAACAATTAGACAATCATATCAATAACCATGCATTGACAACTCAATTTGGCCATCCAAATACCTTAATTCACATCAACAAGGCCACTTTGCATATTTACATAAAATAATCTATCTTGGCGAAATTCTATACACCACATCAAACCAAAACATATAACATGCACTTGTACTAATATCTCAATTTTCCTGTCACATTTTATCACATTCTCACATTTCAGGCTAAGATATACACATTATGCAATTATACAAGTGCAACCAAAATGTTAATACATTCTTATGAAAACTTATAAACATTTACACACACACAAAGACACTCATTACACATTACACATTACAAAGAAGAGCCATACAATAGCAGTCTCACTACTCTTGGCCCAAGTCTTTCCCTCTACTCCTATTGATGTCTCAACCTATAAAATAGTAACTATAAGGTGAGACAAATTCTCATTAACTAAAATAATTCACAACTATTTATTAACAAGTAAAATTATAAACAAGTAAATAAAACATTATTATAGATCACATGTTACTATATATATATATATATATATATATTGATATATTCAATATTACATGCATGATCATACTCTCCATGTAAACCTCAGGATCTACCTTTAACTAAATCCATAGGCTATGCACTGGACCAATTCCATATAAATTGATCCGAGCTCATTTTTTATAAGGCTCTGTTTGGTTTAAGGGGAGGGGAGGGAGGAGGAGGAGGAAGGGAGGGGAGGGGGACATCCCCCTAATTTAGGGGGGGAAGGTTTTGGAGGGAAGGGAAGGGAAAATTTTAAAATTTCCCCTCCCATTCCACCTTACCAAACAAGAGGAGGGGAGGAGAGGGGGGAAGGAAAATTTTAAAATTTCCCCTCCCCTCTACCCAGCCAAACATAGGGTAAGAAAACTACTCGACCAAAGGTATTCTATCCCAGTTTTGAATTATAAATTCCTCCTATAACACAAATAATCAGGGTATCGTATACTCCACCACATCCTTCCAGGTACTAAAGAGCTCATAATCATGTCATTACTACCTAGATGTATGGTAATAGTACATCACATATTACTACACCAGATATCCCATGATGTTAACCTGACTATATGAATTTCCAAGACTACTCCTCTTAGGATGAACTCCTACCCTCACTATTATGATAATAAATTTTACACACATATAATGCATTATTAGACTTTCACACACAATGCAATTCACACACTATGTCATATTCATATTTCTTATCCTTTAAAATTTAGTTAGGAACACCATAAATAAACATATAATATTTTCTTTCTTAAAATCATTTTCTCTTTTCTTTTTAAAATTCTAACTCATACTACCTAAATATATAATAAACACTTAATTTTTTAATTTACTCATAAATAGTTAAACAAATCAATAAATAGTATGAATTATCTTATTATCTCAACCTTTTTATTACCAAAAAATGTTATCCATGGTATTTTTTTGTTATTTTCTCTTCAAACACTCACTACCACAGAAAATACCCATACTTGATGCTTATTTTTCACAATACTTGACCGTCAAGTAAGGGTGCGACATATATTAAAGAAATAATACTTGATGGTTAAAAACCGTCAAGTATTAATCTTATACTTGACGGTTATTTAAAAAAACCATCAAGTATATGAAGTAAATATGTACTTCCCATAATAAATACTTGACGCTTGTTTTGAAATAAGCGTCAAGTATTTATAGCCAAAACCTGCCAGTTCTTTTGGCCATAAATACTTGACGCTTGTTTTCTTATAACCGTCAAATATTTACAAATACTTGACGCTTGTTTTGAAACAAGCATCAACTATATTGATACTTGATAATTATTTTGAAATAACCGTCAAGTATTAATGACATAATTTTTTTAAATATGGTGGCTGCTTTTAAAGCAGCCCCCTGCATACAGATAAAGATAAAAAACAGCCAGCCAGCAATGAAAATAATACAATATAATGAATGTTTGTAATAGTATCTCCTATCTAATTAACATAAAAATTCCTATACATTTAACCTTAAAATCTAAACTTATTTGCAAACTAATGTTTCAAAATTAAGCGGCCTATCCCATAAAAATTGGCCCAAAAATATGTATATAAATGTCACTAACTATTGTACTGGCCTAACTACTGTTGCTACTCACATATTGAAAACACATTAGGCCACCTCTTCAAGGACCTCTTCTACATGTGCAGTCGTATAACGAACGCAATAGACGTCCTCGAAGTATTGTAAGCAAATAGTTACAACAATTTCAAGTTAATAGGTAGCTAATTAAAATTGTTTAAAATTTATAATTGAAGTGTAATTAAATTTTATATATATACCTTGTTAGATAATGTGGTAGGGGCATGAGTGATAATGTCCTTCATGAACTTCATCAAGTAATAACCACAGTCATTGCTCTAATTTGGCTGGAATGGACACTATAAAAAATACATATCAATGAAATTGTAAAATATAATGAGACAATTTCTTGATTAAAAACTTGATCAATTAAACGAATATCTTAACAGTGACCCATTTCTCTAAAGATTCGAATGCCCTCATCTTAGGGGACACAGTCATGTCGGTCGCAGTGCGATACAACACCACAGCTCTAAGAAGGAATTATGGAATGAATGTGAGAAATATATATAATGACAACTAAAATTAAAAAGAAATAACAAGTAAAAAAATCTAACTTACTCATTAAAAAGTACCACCATATCTTCCCTGTTGCTTGGCTCTCCATTAAAGGGATCGAGATACCATATTTTTGGAGCAACGGGATTAACCACAATAAGCATCCAATGTCCCCTAACAAGAAACAGCACATGTTACCAAACAAATAAATATAAAAAAATATTTACTCGTAACAAATATTAACAACTCACCCTTGACAGTAAGGAGCGAGAAATAAAGTATTCTTCGCTGCTCCCCTTTTTTGAAATTGATCCGAAAGCATTCTTACTTGATTTTCAAGGGCTTCCTTTGTAATATTATTGTGGGGAGAGACATCATGAGGATTAACCAGCTTGATCTTTGACTCGAGGCCACCAGGAACCATAAATGAGATATAAAGGTGACTTGGGTGAAAAAATATACAAGTTAATATGCTTGCATACTCACACACATAAATAATTTAAGAAATTAACTAATAAATGTTGAAGAATTACCTCATGTAGAAAGTCATCAAACTAGTGCTCGCCATATCGTGCTTGAGGATTTCATTTAAAATTTCATCTCGAACGACTTCAAATGATGCTCTACCAAATAGCCCATCGTCAAAATTAATGATATCCCCTATCGGCTCTTGACGAATCATCCTCGTAGCCGAAGTATAGGTCTCAAGAGAGTCACGGAATTTGTTTTCTACAATAGGCATAGGCACTGCATGTTGCGAAATTGTGACTGACTCTTTAGTATGGCCCGACACCTTACTCTTCAATTTGCTTTTCCCCCTTGGCTATACAATGAAAAAGTTAGACACACATATATATATATTAAAGATTTTAAATAATTATATAAATCATATATACCTTTTTCTTTGGTGACAAGGGGTCTTTTGGCGGCTTTGGGTCTTTTGTCAACTTTGGTGTACTAGCCATAACAAGGTGGCTGGGCCATGTAACGAAGCTCCCCAACGCATCTCCTACCGTCTGCATCTCATCAGTAGAATAAGGTAATAGATACTTGGGGTCGATTGCAACAAGCAAGGAAACCCTAATGCAATCGAGCGGGAGGGAAAGGTTATGGATTTTGTCCCTGGCAATGTTATACACGCGTCTCGTTGCAACTACTTTGCGTGACAGATCGTCTGCTAAACAGTTGTAGTCATTCTCGCCCTAAATAAATGAAGAACGTTAGTTGTTTAGATAAAAAATTAGTTGAGCAAATTTAAAAGAGAAAATGCATTACCTCGGGTATTTTGTCTGAAGGGACTATGCAGCTATCTTTTTCGCTGGGGCTAACGTCACCCAAAAGCTTCCCAGGGATCTGGCCCTTCAATAGCATGTCAATTAACTTCGCTTGGGCTTCTAGCTATTGCTTTATAACAGCTTGCTCTTCTCTCAACTCTTAGACCTCGGATGAAGAAGCCGATGTTCGCTTCTTAATCTTGCCAAAGTATTGCTTCTTTGTGACACCGAAGCCAACACCCCTAACACGACCAGGGTGGTCAGGGGTCCCCAACGCTCTAGCTAAGATATCCTCATGCTTAGGAAGCTTGCCCTGTGATACTTTTTGAGAGAGGGAATCTTGTGAAAAGTAGAGCTAATTAGTATGCCTTTTAATAATCATTTATTAATTGATAGATAAGAATAACACTTACAATTTTTTCAGCAACCTCTTTCACACGAGGGTTGTCAATCACTCTATCTTTATTTGTTTGTGCCAATGCCCAGAGTCTTTGGCGGGATATGGTAACATCCGATCCCTCAGCCTCAACTTCTTTCTGCTCCACACCTGCATACCCTAACCTCCCTGCTTTGTAAGGGTATTCATTCTTGGCTACTCTCTTCTTATTTTGGGCGCTCAGTCCCTTTAATCAATAACAAAAATATCCTGTTAGTACAAATAGATATATTCAATAAAAGGCACTAAAATTTAAATTTTAGAAACATAAATACCTTAAATTCCTTCTCGCGCCGAGAGATAACAAAAGCATCCCAATCTTCTTGCTTTACTAAAGGCTGTAATAGGGGAGGAACTTGGGCTACAAATTCAGCATTAAGGTCTTTCAAATATTTTTGTGTAATAAAATGTCTGAAAGACCGTAATGCCCTCCCAGCCTTTTGAAAGACAAAATCCTTCTTGCTTTCGTCTATTTCAAATCCTGACTGTAAAATAAAATAAATATGTTAGGTGCATCAATTTAAAATATTATAATAGAATATAACTTAGTCAAATGCAACTTACAGATACAGTCTCCCAAACAATGTCCTTCGTGGCTTGATCAACTTTGCGCCAAGATTTTTGTGTGATAGGTACAGTTGTCTTTGCCACAACCCCAATATAACTTATAAACTTTGCAGATTTGATGGCTTGGCCTTTCTTGTTCCACTGCACTGATATTTTTTCCTTGCTGCTCTTGTTTTTGTGACTTCTTCCATTATTGTTAGGCCTCGCTGGATATTGTAATATTCCTGTTCCAATTTTTTGTGTGACGATGGAGCATCAGTAAAAGTTGTAGCCGGATCTAATGGAGGGATTTCAGTGGACTCAGAATCTGAAGCCATTTACCTATAACACAATAAAATTCCAAAATTAATCAACCATGATTAATTTAAATATAATCGACTATATTAATTCAAACATGAAACAAAAATGGCATAATTAATTCAAAGGTTATATGTTCAAGTTGCTCTTTTTTGTTTCCTTAACTTGGGTTTTTTACTTCCCCCTCCTTGAAATATTTTCTTTTTATGCTGAAATAATTTACCCCTCTTTGAAATCCAAATGCCTTCATTGGGATCATTTCTCATGTATAGAGCTTCATCAACAGTGTCGTTACTTTGATTTGATGTCCCTTCGAATGGGTCATCTTCAATTGCTACATTTTTATTTATTTTTGCATGTAACATAAGAATAGACCATCCCTTATTAGCAGGGTTAGGGACATAAAACACTTGTTTGGCTTGTTGCGCTAAAATAAAAGGCTCATCCTTATACCCTTCCTTGTTTAAATTGACTAGTACAAAGCCAAATTGGTAATCAAATTTCAAGCCATTTTTTCGATCAATCCACTTGCAACCAAAAACTGGAACTCGAAAGGATATGTAATCTAAATCTCATATATTCTCAATTACACCAAAGTATGACATGTTTGCATAGATAGGATTTTTATCCTTAGTGCTGGAAATATGCATGGAATGAGCTACAAGAGTTACACCACTATTTTGCATTGTGTTCTTATCATCTTGCTCTCTTATATAAAATGTGTATCTATTGACAAGGTAAGCAGTGTAAGAAATGGCCTGTCTGCTTGGACCGTTAGCTAACTATCTCAATTTGTTAGAAACTGAATTGGAATTAACATTTAACTTTTGAAGAATGTGCTCCTTAAACCATCTTGTAAAAGTTTTGTTATGTTTCCTAGTATACCAAATTTCTGATTTATTGAGATTGTCCCTCCTAAGTTTAGCCATATGCTTGTCTACATACTCTTCAATCTCTTCAGTGTTGTGCAACACATATAAGTGGGCTTGCTCCCATTGTACACTTGACATAGTAATGACTTTGTTTCCCATGATCCCCTCTCCACTTATTCTACCCATATATCGAGACTTTGCAAGCCCAACATAGCTAATATGACTCAGGTATTCAGTACAAAAGTCAACAACCTCTTCACAAATATACCGTTCAACAATACAACCCTCCAGTCGACTTCAATTTTTCACATAGCCTTTCAAAATCTTCATATAGCGCTCAATAGGATACATCCATCTTAAATAAGCAGGCCCGCACATTTGAACCTCCCTAACCAAGTAAACAGTTAGGTGGATCATAATATCAAAGAATGCCAGTGAAAAATACATCTCAAGCTCACACAGTGTTAATACAATTCGAGCTTGCAACCTTGGCAACTTATGTGGGTTAATCACTTTACTACAAATGGACTTGAAAAACAAACATAACTTAGTGATCGTCTCTCATACTTTAGGGGGTAAAATTGCACGTATAGCAACTGGAATGAAATCCTCCATTAAAACATAGAAATCATGAGACTTTAAGCCCTTCAACTTCAAATCTTTCATTAATACAATATTTTTTATGTTTGAAGAGTAACCCTCAGGAACTTTAACTACATTAAAGAACTCACAAAATGCAGTTTTCTCTTTCTTAGATAGCGTATAAGCTGCCGGAGGGAGAAAGGTACGGTTTCCCTTATCTTGGGGTGCTAATTCTTCTCTTATTCCTAAAGAGACCATGTCCAACCTTGCTTTTATGCCATCTTTTATTTTTCCTGACACTTGGATTAAAGTCCTAATAAGACTCTCACAGACATTTTTTTCAATATGCATGACATTAAGAAAATGTCGAACATCCAAGGTGGTCCAATAAGGGAGTTCAAAGAAAATAGATCTCTTCTTCTATCCGGTTGTCCCAAGGTGCCTTGCAAATGGTTTGCCAAATTCAATATCCAAATCCTTAATCTTCTCAAACAACTCATCACCAGTTAACGGCAAAAGTGTCTTACCTTCTTCTGGATTTCTATTGAACGCTTTTCTCAACCGCCGATAATGATGTTCTTGGTGTAAAAACCTACGGTGGTCGAGGTAAACAGTCTTCATCCCATGCTAAAGCCTCATATAATGTGTTCCCTCTTCACAAATAGGGCATCCAAGTTGCCCTTTAATGCTATACCCTGACAGATAGCCATAAGCAGGAAAGTCATTGATTGTACCGAAGAGCATAGCTCTTAAATTAAATCTTTCTTCTCTATACCCATCATATACCTCTATACCTGACTCTCACATGATCTTCAAGTCATCAATTAGAGAAGCCAAATATATGTCTATGTCATTCCCAGGTTGCTTGGGTCCCGCAATTAGCATGGACAATATCATATACTTGCGCTTCATGCAAAGCCATGGAGGAAGGTTTTAAATCACCAAAATGACTGGCCAAATGCTGTGGCTACTACTTTGAATCCCATGAGGATTCATCCCGTCGGTAGACAATGCAAGGCGTAGATTCCTACTCTCTTCCCCAAATTCAGGGTACTCATAATCAATCTTTCTCCATTGTGGAGAATCAGCAGGATGACAAAGTATGCCATCTTTTATCCTTTCATCCACATGCCATGTTAAGTTTTTCGCAATTTCTGCACTGCTATACATGCGTCTAAATCTAGGCACGATTGGAAAATACCATAGTGCCTTCACGGGACTTGATCCGTTCTGCTTGTAGCATGAGGCATTACACTTTGAACACTCGACTAACGACGCATATTCATTCCGAAATAAAAGGCAATCATTAGGGCACGAGTGTATCTTTTCATAACTCATGCTAATTGATCGCAATACTTGTTTTGCGTCATATGTTCGACAAGGAAGCTCATTTTCCTTAGGAAGTAATTCTACTTTCAAATACCCAAGCAACTCAGTAAAGCTTGCATCACTCCATCCATGTTTTGCCTTCATGTTGTACAATTTTAACACTGTTGACAACTTTGATGCATTACAACCAGCATACAACGGTGTCTCCACATCACTTTTCAACTTCTCAAACATTTCCGGATAATCCTCGAGGTCCTCTTCAACTGCTTTGGCCATCTATTCAAGACAATCTTCCTCAAGTGTGCATGTGTCAAAATCATCAGGAGATGATGCACAGCTTTCACTATGCTTCTGGCTGCAACCAATATCATCTCTTGTCTCTCCATGCATTGTCCAACACTTGTAACTTTGATCCATCCCATTAATCACTAGGTGTTCTTCACAAGTATCTGGACTAACCCGCTTCACAAGACCATACTTTAAACATAGGCAAACAATCTTAGTAGGATCCTCCGCATGCTTAACTGCAAGCTTAACAAAATTTACCACCCCATCCCAATATTCCTTGGATAGACGATTGACAGACATCCATTTCTTATCCATAATTCCTAGAAAGATTAAGAGGGAAATATGATTATTGACTTTGACTACTCCTAGATAGTGGGAAAATTAGATACAAAGATCAATTAGTCAATAAGTCACTAACCACATGTTTGCACATTCCCTCTTTAATCTTATTTAAAACTAATAATTATATTTTAATGCTAGCCATTGAAATAATTTCGACAGCATAACAACTTAAAAAAGAGAGTTTCCCGAGCCTTATCCCCTCTTCCTATTAATCTAAATGACAACAACAACAGCATCCACAACAACAAACACATAAAGTTATATTCAAGAATAATTTAAAAAAAATTAATAGTATATATAACGGCTTAAAATGAATATTACCAGGTCTTTATGCCTTTAAAAAAATCAAGTTATCCATAATGAGACTATATATAATCTAACAACAATAATAACAACATTAATAAGAAACTTAATTTTAATTAAAATCATATTAAACCACATCAAACACTATATAAATATCAATTTAAAATATCAAAAATATTAAAAATAAGGTAATTAGGTGGTATACTATTTTCATATCCTTAATGAATCTCCTCATATCAACAAAATAATTGGATGATCCCTTAATTCAATAATTAAGTACCCAAAAACTCAAAACTTCAAACACTCACCGGGAAGAACAACAATGCAGATCAAAATAAATAACACAAAAATTATTTATTACGTATGAAAATCAAAATCAACAACCCATACATTTAAAATGAAGATTAATGATTAGGAAAGCAAGAACCTACCTCAACAAGAAGAGGGAACATCGATTGTGCAGAAAAACAGAGAGGAGAGTCTGTTGCAGAGTGATAGAGACCGAGAATCCAAATGAACGAGTGCCCACGAGACTTATGGAGGCCGAGAATCAAAAACCCCTTAAGAATCGAGATCGAAAATGTGTTTTTTGGCAGTTAGAGTGACGAAAAATGGGTTTCGGTGGCTCTGGGTTTGTTTCTGAAGACGAAAGATTTGCAGAAATGGAGAGTGAAAAAAAAATCTGGAGGAAATTTAAATGACAATACTTGATAGTTATTTCATAATAACTGTCAAGTATTACATATATGACGCTTGTTTTAAAACAACTGTCAAGTATATAGCAGACAAAATTGACGGTTATTTCAAAACAAGCATCAAGTATGTGAAAAAATTTAATTTTTTTTCTACTATTAATTTGACGTTTGTTTATTGAAGATCGACGTGTAAATTTTAGCTTTATATGACGATTATTTATAAAAAACGTCAAATATATATACTTGACGGTTATCTTTAAATAACCATCAAGTATTTACTTAAATATTTGACGCTTATTTCGTAAAAACCGTCAAGTATTCTCCGCCTTTTTTATTTGTCGTTTTTTTCAAATAAACGTCAATTATAGGGCGTCAATTATACACCTTTCTATAGTAGTGACTCAATAAACACTTGCGCCATAATAATCTACAAAGATTAAGTGATATATGTAAATTCTAAATTGAGCATAAGTATTTATTACTACTATTAAACTAGCTTAAGCTTCTAATCTCTATCGTTAGACCACTTTAAGTCCTAACCAACTGTCATAAACTTCTTACAACTTTTGCTGAATCCATTACTATCAACATAGGCTTTTCACAATTTAAAACCTCACAATTAAGACTAAAATTGAGCCAAAGTCTCAAAACTCAACAATCAACCACCAAATTAGCTATAATTTCTTAATTTAACTTCCAATAACCCTTTTACGGCTATTAGGCTAGAAAACAACCCTTCAAAACCTCACAATCTAATTTTTCTATATCTCAAATTAAGAGAGAATGGGATAGATTAGATGAGTAAGAAGGTATTAAGCTTACCTAGTAGATAATAAGTCGAAACTATCTCTTAGGTGCTTAAACTTCCTTGCCTTAGTATAGCTTTACTCCTTCTCTACAATGCTTCTATGTTTTCGTTCCCCTTCTCTTCATTCCATTAGCTAGACACCTAACTTTAAAGTCAAATTATTGTTTCATGTGTTGCGGTATATTGTGCCATGCCGTAGCATATAGCACAATGAGTCATTTCTCACTCTAGCTTTCCTATTCTTTCTTGGATCACTCTACTTCCATCTAATCTTGATCATATGATTATCCAATGACCCAAAATATAAATTCAAAATTCTAAATTATGATTTAATTAATTAATCCACTAATTTACTAATTTATCCTTAATCATTAATTAGTTTTCGGATTAAGAACTTGGGATGTTACATATTATGATAGCAACTTTAGGATATTTACCATTTCCGGTTCTTAAGTAGTGGAAGAATTCATACACAATAAAAATATTGTCTTGGATAACTCACCCTTGGATGAAAGCTCTTCAGTTCTCAAACATTATGTGGGGCATGATAGATTTCAATCAACTTGCAATCAGCTTGAAGAAAATTTTGTATAAGAAATTGCAAAGACTTATAGGTCTAAATGGACCCACAAACTCAGGAATATCAAATTTTGGGATCATAACTAGATCCGTTTCATTAAGTTCCCGTAGAAATCCATTATTGCTAAAAAATTATTTCACCACAGCACAGATTTGACTACCTACAATATGACATACCTTATGATAAACATTCCTAGATAGCCATCGAGGCCAAGGGCTTTAGTGCTTCCTAAATCAAAGACTACTTTTTTAATTTCTTGATTTGAGAAAGGAGCCACCTAAAGTTCATTATCTTCCTTAGTAATAAGCCATTCAACAAAGCCAAGGACATCAAAAAAGTCCCTCGAGCCCATAGATTGGAAGAGGGAGTCGTAAAAGGAGGACAATTGAAAATTGATCTCCTTATAAGAGTTTATCCAATCTCCATTCTAATTTTTTAATCTTTGAATCTTGTTTTTCTAGTGCCTACAGATAGAGCTGGGAAAATGGGTTGAGCTTGCAAGCTAGCCCGTTTAACCCGCACAATTTGACGGGTTGGGTTGAAAAAATTAGCCCGTTTTTTAAAACGGACTGGGTTAGCCCAACCCGCAAAAAAGCGGGTTAATCTTTTTATAAATTTACAATAATGATAATATTTCTTAAATATATAATTTATAACTTTTAAATATATTCTTTACATTTAAAATATAGTGTAAATTCTTTTTACAATTTGCAAATAAAATTTTTGTTATAGTTTATGAAGATGATTTATTAGTTTTTATAGAAATGTTTTGAATATATATTATTTATTAATCTCATAAATTCTATTGATTGAAATTATAAATATGAATTCACTAAGAAAAATAATATGAGTTTATATTCAAATTTTCTTTATTAGTGACAAAGATAGCACACCTAGGTGAGAAAATGATTAATAATAAAAATCTAGCAAAATGAATTTGCTTGGTTGAATTTTATATTTATTTTATTTATTTATAAGTTTTTTAATTTCTAATTTGCTTTAAAATATGAAATAAATACATATATATTTATATTATATAAATTTTAAATTATTAAAAAAATTTGATAATTTTTTGTGGGCTAGCCCGCGGGTTGACTAGCCCGCTGGAAAATGGGTTGGGTTGGATTTTCTAGCCCGTTTTATCTGGTGGGCTGGCCCAACCCAACCCGCAAAACTGTCAGCCCGCGCGGGCTAGCCCACGGGCTGGCCTGCAACCCGTTTGCCCAGTGCTACCTACAGATAGTGCTCATGTGGAAAATTTTGGAGTTTTTATCACCTCATTTGCACCAGTTAACAAGGGTGTGTTAGAACCATTTTTTTTCCTCTTTATTCTCAAGCAACTCCAATTCGCATTTGAGATAGATTAGCTTTGGTGTCAGACCATTTGCCTTCACAACATCCTATTAGTTCCACCATTAGCTTACTAACTAGGATAGCAGAATTAGTAAAATTATGTTTGCTTCAAACCAAAAGAGCTTTTCTTGTATGCATAAAATTCCTATTAAACCATGAAATTTCCATCTATAGATTAGGACTAAGAGAGTCCCAATTTTCTTTAACAATGTGAAGAAACTTAGGATGATCTAGCTGGAAGAGCTCAAAACAAAATTTCTTAAGTTTTTGAACTACATTGGCTTCCAAGTTTAGCAAAAATGGTGAGTGGGCAAACCCTACAAGATCAAGAACTAAGAGTAAAGCATTCTTATGCAATTGTCTCCAATTGACATTACAAATAAAGCAATCAAGTCTTTCCCTGATGACATCTTCTCCTTTATGGTTGTTGGCCATAAACTAGGGCCACTGTAATTCAAATCCATCATACTATAAGAACACAAAAATAGATGGAAAAGTTTAGATGACTTAGGTAGAAGAGTCCTTCCACCATGCTTTTCATAACAATATTGGAGTTCATTGAAATCAACTATACAGAACCAAGGGGTAGCATCACCAAGATTAATGGATTATTTGACTCCACCATAATTCCTTCAATTCTTCTCTTGGTGGATCAAAAACAAAAGTACAGCAACAGCTTGAGGGAAAAAAGGTGTTATAAATAGTAGTGTGGAAAAAATTCCTTGAGGCAGTATGAACTTCCAAAGTAACAGTATTAGACCACTAAAGATAGAGTCCTCCTCAATGACCCTTAAGATCTAGAGAAAAACCATGATCGAACCATCTCTTCTTCTCAGACACTTGATCTTATTCTATTTCATTTTTGTTTCTAGAAGAAAAACTATGAGGGCTTATGTGTAAAGCAGAGGAATTTGAGATGATTCTTAGTTAGGGTAGCCCCCAAACCTTGACAATTCTAGGCTAGAAGACTCATGGCTACTTGGTGGCCCTTAAAGGCAAGCCACTAAGCCTATGAGAAGAAGAATTGAGAGAAAATGTGGGGGAAGAAAAACCACATTAGGAGGAAGATCTCCTTTAATTGGAACATCAACTAGGACATCAAAATCAATCTATTTAGCTTTGAAATTTCTTGTCTTTCTGCCTTTCAATTTACCAGGACTTTTACCTTTAGCAAAGGAGCAGTTGCCAACCAATTTAGGGTCATCTTGAATCACTAGATTTGTTTTGTCTGGGTGACTATATTTCTTCAGCCTCTTAGAGAACGGAAAGGGACAATCATCTCCAACAAGGCATTTAAGATTCACTCGTTCTAACTTGTGAATCAGATCTTTATCAATGGAGGAAGGGCAATCTAGGGATTAAGGGATATAGCTAGGAAGTGAGTCTTGAAGCCAATTATGTTTATTGAATCTCAGTCCCAACTGTTGTCTGGCAAAACTTAATAATGCAGAGGAGAGAGCTTCACACACGTGCAAGAAATCTTAAATTCAGGTAGTTTTGCATTGTCTTGGAAAAATTTAATAATCCAGCTTGGCACACATGCAAGCTATAGATTAGAGGGATCTTAAATTCAGGTAAGAATAGTAAAAGATCTCCCATGAATCTGGTAAGAATTGCACATTTCCAATGCCTTTTGCTCTTGAACTTCTTGATCCAAATAGTCCATCCTCGATTAATTAAATCAAAGACATTTTGATTTTGTAAGATGGGTGCTTGTGATTGATGAACAATTGGCTTGGGGAAAGACTACTTACAAGCAAAATCCAGGTAACGAATAATTCCACTGAAATCTCTTATGATCTTCTAAGGAATTAGAATGACATATATATTCATGAATTGCTTGATTTCTTTTCCACCATATGAGCTGTGGTAATACAATTATCCTTAATTACTACCGCACTGAAATTCCGTTCCCTTGTCCACTGACGAATTCCACTTTGGCCAATTGAATCAGTTCTAATGATCAAAGCTCAAGCCATATGGCTCTTGTGAAGGGACATTATTCAAACACATGAGCAATGAATTCCCACTTGGAATTGCACTGTTGATCAATTTCCACACACAACAGATACTTCATAGCAAGGAATCAGTTTTAATACAATTATCCCTAATTACTACCAAACTGAAATTCCATTCCCTTATCCACTAACGAATTCCAGTTTGGCCAATTAAATCAGTTTTAATGATTAAAGCTCAAACCATATGGCTCTTATGAAGGGACATTATTCAAACACATTAGCAATGAATTCCCACTTGGAATTGCACTGTTGATCAATTTCCCCACACAATAGATACTTCATAGACAATTTGAGCTTCCATAGTTGTGCCTAAAAATAATTTTGAGGCATTGGTGTGGAAAGGGATTGTCTTATAAGATTCTTGAAAAGGATATATGTTTAGCTAGCAACAAGATATTCACTCGCTGGTTTGGCCTTAGTCCTAAATCACCACTCTTAACAGGCATAAAGAACATATAATAGGGAGAATTTCAATGAAAACTCATTGATCACACTTATTTAAATTCAAAACCTCTCAATTTTTAAAATTACACTACAATTTAAGGGTATTGATTTGATTTAAATTTATGAGAGAAATGACAAAATTGCCCCTCATTTAAATTAATATCAGAACTTCCTTACTTTGCTTGCTCATTATCCAACTTTATTTATTAATTTACTTATGGACTATTATTAAGTGCCCTACTTAGCTTATTTTTATTTTAAGTGTTTGAATTATCTTAATATAACTTATTGATTCCTATATTATATGTTGTTTATTTACTTATAAACTGTTATTTATTGTCCTATTTCACTTATTCATTGTTAAACTTTCACTTGATTTCATTCCAAGGAAATGAGCAAGTAAAGTAGGGCAAACTAACATTTTGTAAGAAAATGAATAAGTAAAGTGAGGCAATTAACAAGTTAAGTAGGACAGTTCTAATATTAATTTAAATAAGAGCAATTTTTTCATTTTTTTAAAAAAAATTTAATATCAAATCAGTATCCCTAAACTGCAATGAAATTTTAAAAATTTAAGGATTTTAAATTTAAATGAGTGTGGTCATTGAAATTCTCCCTATATTATTTCCTTTAAGACAAATATTCTTTCTTTTTTTAGCATTGCTACCGTAGAAAAAGTCAATGCATCAATATTACTTATAGATGTGCAGTTACTAAAAAACATGAGTTTTACAACATTAAATAAAAAGATACTCTTTTCGTTTAAAAATATAAGATATTTTTAAATAAATTTTGCTCCAATAAAGTTGTTAATTGTTTTCAAACTAACACCATATTTATATATTTATCCTCATTTAATAGAACACTTCGCTTTAAAATAAATATAAAGTAATTTATTTATTATGGGCTCTTTTAAAAAGGCACACTAATTATACTTTGCAACACTAAAAATAACTTATATTTTTTAATATCAAATCCCTCAAAAGAATGCTTTAAATTTTTTAACAGAGGGAGTATTTAATTTTTCATTAGTGTAAATTAATTAATTCATCTTCATCTTTTATTCTTTGTAATATACATAAGTTTTTGTAAGCCTAAATGAATCAATTTCTCTCCCCCTTTTCTTTTATTTTTATTATGAATTTTGGAAAAAAAAATAACAACTTATCTTCACTCTAAAACTTTCTCACCCCGTTTAAACCAAACCAAATCAAATCAAAATATAGATATTTGCCAAAAAAAATCAAAATATAGATAATAACTTGTAAAATTTGTTACCCCATACTTATTAAAATGTTAAACTAAGATATTTTATTCTAATATTTATTATTCAATATACCTCTGTTAAATATTATTGTCAAGTACTAAATGAGATTATGTACAAAAATTAGATTTTGATTTTTAGTTGAGAAAAATAAAATAAGTGTCATATAAAAAATGGGAGAATCTCATATGAGGCTCATTGAAGGAAAATAATTTCTTTGTAGTCTCATTCTAATATACTTCTGCTGGTCCAAAAATCCAAGTGCAATTATTTTTTAATGTGAAAAGACCAAATTATTCTTAATAAACGAAGATATCTTGTGACTAATTACATAACAAATATACCACTATATTAAACATTGCACAGTTTCATGAGTCAAACCTAAATAAACTGTATCTTATGCAATAAGCTGATTAATGATAGATCATAATAGTAATAATAGGCATGTTGATCTTTTTCTCTGTAATTATCCTTTTTTATTTTTATTTTTTTGAATTGTAAGACTATTGTTTATGCTTTTTAGTTAACACAGTCATTTGACTTTATTTCCCAAAAAAAAATTAGTAACCAACCGAAAAAAGAAGTTAGAAGAGATGGAATTTGGGAAGAAGAAATTCCACCTAGAGCTCATATGTGACCTATGGTTGAATCAGTAAAACTCAAAACGAACATCAATATCATGCCACATGTATTGCCGAATGAACGCACACAAACATGTCAGCACTAAATTCAAACCCAAGACCCATTCTAAACGAGAAAAGTAATGTTACCAGTAGGACAAATAACTCATTAGCCTCTCAATAACATGACCACCAACAACATCCTAATCAATATCCTAAATTGTATTTTATAAATATATAATAAAATTTTAACACGCTTACTTGATTTTCATAATTCATTTTAAATTATATTTTTATTTCTACAACTGTCTCTCACATCGTCCAGCATTCTAATTTTCTTTTCTATCTCATTTTAAAATTCTGTAAATTAGTCGCTCCATTTTCAAGAACATGAGATTTATTAGCCTAAGGTGCATAAATCATATCAGGATTTTTCATGATGAGAAAATATCAAATCTAAATACCTAATCTTAACACACCTTTACAGGTAGAACCTAGATGAATTATAAAAGCATTTAATCTAGACTATCCAGATATAATATGCTAACACTTTCCCAAGGAAAGTAATAAAGGGTACTTAATCTTGGTTGGTCATCTTATGATCCAGTTCCACTTAACTGCACCTTGGATGTGCTTTCAAAGATCTTATCAGCATTTCCAACCTCAAAGCCATCCCTCCTATGATGCTCTTTGACCTGTTCAAGTCATACAAACAAGCATTAATGATTTTATCTCTAATTAATAGATCAAGGGGAAATGACAGTTATGAAACCAGGTCCTTAGCTGAGCAAAATTGAAAAGAAAAATGACAATTATGGACCTTACAAAGACATTAATGACAATTGAAGACCTCAAAACGAAATAATGTCAGAGAAGGACTATGGCTTTATTTGCAATTAAAATTCTTCTAATTATTGCAATAACTAATAGAAAGTCACTCATGAATTTAAGAAAAGCTGGACGTGAATTTAAAAAAGATCAATTGTAAATATATGAAAAGTCAATTGTGAATGGATATCAAGTTCATGAATATATACATCATTACTGTGAATTTAAGTATAACTACTTATGAATTTTTGAAAAATCAATTGTGAATGAATATTTAAAAATATGAAAGGTACCTAAATCATTGAATTACAATTAAAACTATTCATATCCATTTATAATAAAGGTTCCATTTATTTCAAAGTGACACTCTTTCACAAGTAATGTATAAATTCACAAGACTATTCATTCATTTACAACTGAATTTTCATAAATTCACAAATGACTATTCTTAGATTCACAAGTGACTATTCGTAGATTCATAAAATTATATATCTATTCACAACTAACTTTCTATTAATTCACAAGTAACCTTACTTAAATTACACCTTACTTGATTACCAAAAATCAATTTACTGCTTACTTTTTAAATTTATCAGTCACATTTCATTGGTTATTTTAATAATTATTTATTTTTTAATTACAAATAAAGATCATGTTCCTTCCATGACATTTAATGCTTTCACAAAGTCTGAAATTGTCATCCCCCCCCCCCAAAAAAAAAAAAAAAACAGCGAGTAAAATGCCCTTACTAAGTTAAAACCGTAGACTTTCAAAAACTATCATGCAAATGTAAATCACGAAGGATCAGTCATTTACAACTGAGCTTCCAATATTTACTATTGAGCTGCAGATTTTTAAAGCTGCTATTATATTTAAGATCAAGTATGGCCATTTCTACCCAGCCCCTTTTTAAAAAAAAAAAAAAATTGATGTCACTTCAATAAACAGTAATTGATCCATGAAGAAACAAAGTTCAACCACTCTAACTTTATGCAACATATTGATAAAAGTCATCATTGTCAACAATTGGTCTCTAGCCAAGAGCATGATTAAACTTGCAGATTATAAACTTCTGCAGAATAAGAACCTAGAAATTTAGGGTCAGTAACAAAGACTGATATTTACCTCTGAATCAGCCAAATTTCTATATTGAGGCAGTACAAGGCGCTCAGCGAATTCGATGTAAGAGCATGGAACAGATTTGGTTATGCCATCAGAGAATAGGAAATCAACTGAATCTGCTACAGTTGAGCTTTGCAGGAGAAGATCGTCAGGACTCACTGGTAATGGGACAAATATTTAGTCATATCATATGATTTTTTAATGGCAATGAACAATAAATTGCAATGATCTATGAGGTGAATTCATATTCAATACCTTTAGGCTGCATTTGGTGCATGGAAAACAAATTTGAGGAAAGGAATGTGAGGGAAAGATGGCAAAGTGACTTTCTTAGAGTGTTTTGCATGTTTAAGGGAGCGAGTTTTTTCACTCCCATTCCCATTCTACATCAAACCGGCCGTGAAGTTAGTGTGTCAATTATTCGGCTTGCAAGTTAGAAAACCATGCTCCACAAAGTGTACATCCTCCGATTCACAATATAAAACATTGATAATTAATTCACAGTTTTAAAATGAGTTAGTTGAAACCTTAATCTATTAAAAAATTTATACATTTCTAATTATACCCTCATTAAATCTCATATATAAGTGCCTTCATAATGGAAATTGAAATTCCAATAGAACTTTTTTTTTTCAAAAAGAAAAATAAAAAGTAGCGATATGGAAAAAAAATTACAAGAACTTTCCAATGTCCTATATTTTGGACTAAACAATGCTTCTAAAGTATGTACTATATTATGAACTAGAAGGAGCAGTTCCTCCAACTCCGAATCTCCATTCAGTGAAAGTTGGAGAGTGAAATCAAGGAGCAAATAAGTAAGCGAATGAATTAAGAAACATATTGTTTACCTAACTCTGGAACTGTGATAGGACCCTCTATTCTAGCCACCTTAAAACAAGCAAAAAAACCAGAAATACACTTCAAATGGGACTGAAAATACTGATACTGAATGCTTAAAGTGGATTACAAGAGAAATAATGATTCAAGCTAATCTCAAAATTACAGTTACAGAGAAACAAAATACACCCACAGAATAGAATCACAAAACACTAAGCAGAAAGATAGAAGGATGAAGCAAACACAAGCCACTCACTAACACACTAAAATAACTAAAGAAAATGATGAAGAAAGATAGTCTTCCTCCACCCTCAATCTGGCATTCGAGAGGCCAGAGCTCTTCTCACCCTCACAGTTTCAAAATTCCTCCCTCCTTCTACACGAACATACCGATCTTACCGATTTAAAGACCAAAAGTAGATTGCCCCTACCAAAACACTAGCTTTACTCCCCCTACTTTTCTATCTCATCTGGTTGTTACCCATTGTATTTTCTTCTAAACCAATAGTCTCATCTTTTCAGCCCTTTGCCATTCTTTTTATATCTCCTTTGCGTGAGTTTTGATGGTGACAGGAGATGGGGTCTTATCAAAGTGCAAATGACAAATATGTAATAAAAACAATGATGGTTTTGTCCAGTTGGGTTCCTTTGGATTTGGATTTTGATGAAGTTGGCGAAATTAATGATAGCAAAAGGAGTTTAGTTAGAAAAGAAGTTGAAAAACCAAACAACTTCACAGAACTTCAGTGAAGAAAAATGCAGAGGATCCAAATCCAGGTTTCATCTACAAAATTATTATATTTTTTTAATTCTATTTTTCATTTTATTTCATTCCATTCTACATGCAAGTGACATAGTTCAAGAATTAGATCTTTTCTAACTTTCAAGAGGTAAATAAATAAAGAAAAAGGTGAAACTTTTCACCCATGTTTTCACATTTCAGTAAAAACCAGCCCAATGTATGATAAATGATTGGATTGTTAACAAAATCTAGGAGACTTCAGTATATCCAGTAACAAATCAAGGTACAAACCTTTCAGAACTCCTCCCTCAGAATTCAGTCTGATATCGTTTTCCTCAATAAACTGATTCAGATTCTTTATATTTCTCAAATGTGACTTCAGTCGATGAGTGGAAATAGTAACATGGTTCAGGGCATGTCCATTGACGAGGGTCCAAGCAGCATACTCACTTTCACTGTGCATTAAAACCGTAACACACTTAGACCAAGAAATAAGGATTGCAAAAAAGACACAAGTTCAATTAGTATAAAAAAATCCAAAGATAGTACTCATCCATTTTAAATAAATCATCTGTATCATGGATGCAAAGAATGACTTAACATTGAAGTTGATGTTACTATTCGTATAGAGAGTATCAAATACCTTGCCAATGTTTGAAAATCAGAATAAGAGGGCTTATCCCATGTTAAAATTCCAAGAGAACTTGCTAAAGCTGCATACTTGTGTCCAACACCAGAAGTACTGGTGTATCTTCTAATTATTTCCTGAAAATAAATTTCAATATGCTTCAAACATGATCTGGCCATTGAAATGAAAAGTATAGGCCATAGGTTCCATCTCGCAAGCAAGTTACAGAAACGTGTAATACTTCAGATATGAAATTCAGAAATATACCATAGCATAATGCAGATCACAAAGCAACCAGTCATATTGAATCTCAATTCTAAAAGATATTGAAGTGCTATAATAAAATTCAGAGTAGAGTATCCAATCTGTTTCACACCCCAAGCACACTGAACATAGTGCCGTTAATTACACAGAAATTGTTACAAAAATTAATTCCTTGAAATTTCAATCAGGATTTTATAATTATTAAGCTGCTTTAGCTGCATGAATATGAATTTTTTGGATGCAACCCTATCTCAACCAATTCAGATCCTCTGCAGCTGCAAAAATAAGCACATATAGTGCACTAAGAGGAAGAGAGAGAGAAAGAATGGGTGCAAGAGGGGAAGTGGATCCCATCCACAGTCACTTCCTTTTGTATCACTATCTCTTCAAATGTATGACGGTAGATGATCCAATTTGATCTTAGGACGCATTTCCACAAGCACAGCTATCAAGTTGCTTAAGTCATGAAACACAACTTTTACAACTGAGATGGCTAAAACAATAACATCTCTCCATGTTTTCACTCAAGACGAAGAAGGAACATGTCTGAGAGTTTAAAATAAATAAATCAGACTTCTTTTCAAGTGATGGAATGCAAGATGGAAAGAGTTCATATGTGAATCCTACACTGTGGAGCAATGAGTAATGGGCACATTGCAACGGAAAAAGGGGAAAAAATCTAATCAGTTTTTCAACTTTGCCAAGAAAGAAAGACATACTGCACAAGGCTTGGAAGGAATAAACTAAAAACATGATTTAAAGTGCTGACCAAGCATATCATTCATTCTTACTGTGGAAACAAACCTGAGCTTGCGGACTTGTCTGGTCTACAAGTAACTCTGATATGAAAACTCTTGGCAAAGGCCCATGAATACCACTGCCAGAACCAGTAAACGAGTTTCTAGGAGGAGAAAACCACAGGGCTTTCAACTTTTTAGCTGGGAACCTCAACTCTTCCTGAGGCCTATAGCCATAATCCACAAAAAAACTAGCCATCGAATCAATTCCGTAGCCATTCACCTGCAATGTCACACATTTTCAAGGGCAAGAGAAAAAAACAGAACATTTTATCATTCATTTTCAAGGAAACTCTTGCATAATGCAAAAGCAAATAAATGAACAAAGTGGAAAATCTATATTAGTTGAGCCTAAATATGAATGCCTCTTTAGTTTTTGCACCTGGTGGAGGATAACCGAAGAAGGTCTCTAATCAAATCTAAACATACCATTTTTTGATCAATGTATTGTAGTTATACTTAGTTCATACAGTAAAAGAATTTAGATCCTCTGCATTAAATAATTATTGTATATTGTGTTGTGTGAGAGACTCAGAAGCATGGAATGTGAGTAAACTAAATAAGTCCCGTACACCCCATTTCTTTGTGTTAATCTCTCAACTTCAGCATTTCAGCGTTACCAGCTAAACCAGTAAAAAACACAATAATTTAAACAAGTAAAGTTGAGTCATGGAGGAAACTTGGTAAATTAAGTCGGAAAAAAAAATACCCCAAATGTCCTGAATGCCAGATGGTCATAGCAGATTTGACTATTGTCAGTAGATTCAACAAGGTCCAAGATGGCCTTCGCTGTGGGGTTTCTACTCAAATACACTGATTGCATGCCTTCCAAAACGCTCCTGAAAAATGCTTCCCCTCCCTGCAGAGAAATCATCTTTGGGAACTCAGAATTCAGGATGTTTTCTCTATATATAAGACACTATTAGGAATAAAAAAAATTAATTTTGATTATCCAGAGCTCAGTAAGTACTTGAAGGTCAGAATCCTCCACATAATCAAGAAAAAGCATTTCATTTTGTAAGGGAAAAACGATCACCCCAAAAAAATATATAAGCCAAGAAAGAACCTGAATCGATGATTTCTGAGATCCATCTTCTGATCTAGTACTCGAAGCCATGCAGAGATACCGTTTTTGCTTGATTGAGACTGGAATTTCGAGAAAAGATGGTTTCTTGATGGGGAGAAAACTCTGGGGTTGGAATGGCGAGATGGAAGAGAGAGCGGAAGGTTTGCCAGTGCATCTGATAGGGGATAACATGGTGGAAATCCTCATTGGTTCGGTAGAATTTCCTGTTTGGTTACTGAGAAAAATTTTTACTCACAATTCCAGAAAATGGGAAGCGTCCAGCTAGATAGTTGCCGTTGCGTCATGCGTGGGAATTCCTAGCTGTTTTGCAATTGCATGGGTTTGATGTTTTGTCCATTTTCTACTCCGTTGACGAAACCTTACGTGGCATTACGGTTTGTCATTATCCAAAACGATAAAGACCAAACTGCGTTCATTTCATTGTCCTCATGTCCTGTACTACCTCTAACAACGATAAAGAAATAATGATTTTTTATTCATATTTATATGTATATTATTAATTTTTTATCTCAGTTTCTTCTTTTTTTTTTCTTGGTAATCTTATCATCCGTTTCTTATTTTACGTTATTGGATGTTGAATGTGGAATGTATGTTATTAACATGTGCAATATCCAGAGGAGAAAGTTTTGCATGCACTAGGAGCACCACTTGATTTGTAATTTATTTAATTAGAATATCACAAATCAGCTTATTTTGATTCTAGCTAGTAGTTGCTTAATTTATATTACTTTATTTTTAAAATATTTGGAGGTAAGAGAATTGATAATTAACAAATTGAATAAAATAATTTTTGAATTATATGTATAAAATAAAATAATATAAATTAAGAAAGAATCAACTAGGATTAATAATTTATTAAATGGGATCCCTTTAAAATAAATACTTAAAAATTTAAAATATTGATATAAAACAAGCACAATTGTGGAGCATGGTTCCCAAGAAAAAATTGTTCAAAACAAGGGTAATTCTATAATTTTTGAGCCATTCATCATGACTATAAGGTGAATGACAAAGAAGAGGTGCTCCTTAAAAATGACATGTGCCACAACTAATATGTCCTATTAACATATGACATATTAATAAAAATTTTAAACTTTAGACATGAATAATTATCTCTACACAACTCTAAATTGAGTTATTCAAATATCCACACAAAACTTATCATATTAAATAGTTAATGACTTGGGTTTGTACAAAAAATTTTCTGCATGAAGTTTTTTACCCACAAAAACCCATTATGGGTAAAAAAAACATACCTTTCAAATATTTTAACTTCCTAAACCATGTGAACCACTTGACCACTTCACATATGTATAACATGACTTAAATCAAATATCACTTTAACCACATACTACCAAAATCAATAGTTAGGTTATAGCTATAATGTTTGCCTTAACATTATCAAAACACAATACAAACATAAATACCATTATAATAATTAGGATTAATTAAAATTTCTTATATAAGATTATCATAATCCAATGGTTTAAAAGAATAGTTTAAAATATTGAGATCTTAAGAAACCTTTTTGAAAATGATGTTTGAATTCAAACCATATTTTAAAACAGTAAAATAAAGTAATGAAAGCATGAAAACCAAAATCATACATACAATGATCAAAATCAAGCAATCTGGTCTGTGTGGTGCAGTGTAGTGTACCCCTACTATCATGACAACAGTTGTCAATATAGCATTCCAAAACCAACTTTTGGAACGTGCATTTTCACTATCGAACATTTGATTTGAGCAATTCAAGTGTTTACTCATAGCTCTTAGAACCGCCTAACTATTGACACCAGTCTTACAACCATACATTATACCATTTAAAAGTTGGATAATCACAAATGAAATTGACCAATTGCAATTCAAAACCACAACAAGGGTGTATAAAACTCTCCAACTTAGTGCCAATAGCCTTACAACCAACCGAATCAACTTAAATGGACTACAAATAGTTTAATTAAATAGTCATATATATTTTGGCCATTAAAACCCAATTTTGACATATATCTAGGGTGTGCATAAAGCTCAAAATAAGCATCTTATTGCTATCCACATACATATCAAGCATTATAATAATTTCACTTGCATCAATATCACGACCTGTAATAGCAATCTCATTACAAATGCATCATTTCAAGACAAGATGCCCACAATTACACAATTTCATGCAAATGAACCCAAAAATCAATGTATGATCCTAAGTTAGCATAATTAATACATATCATTCATTATAACTATAAAAAGGAGAAAGAGAGAACTATTCAAACTTAGCCTCTCAAATTTTAATAGCACCTTCTTTTTCTTTGCCCCTATCAGAGCCTTCACCTTAAAAGTATAACCACAAGGTTGAGATAAACATTTCAGTAACAAAATAATTCACAATTAGTAATAAACATGCATAATTGTAAAATAAGTAAAGATCATATATACATAGTATAAAAACACATTCATTTTCATAGAAAACCATTTTCACATTATATCTTTTCTACTAGCATGACTATCTACCATCCAAACCTCCACCTCACCTTAACTGAAACCATAAGCTCCATTAGGCCAACCATGCACTCACTAACCTGAGCACATCTCCAATGATAGAATCACTCAGGCAAAAATGTTCTATCCCACATAGAACTATAGTTTCTCCCTATCTCACATGATAAGGGTGTTGTTACTCTAACACCATATCATAAAGATGTTAAAGAGCGCAAGTTTCCAACACCATACCCCACATGGATACTAAGGAGAGAGAGTTCTCTAACACTATACTTATAAGGCACTAAGGAGAAAGATTTTTCTAATATCGTGCCTCATTGGGCACTAAGGAAAACAATTGCCATATAGACTTCCACTACTCCTTCCTACGGGTGAATTTTCACCCCTTACTATCATCATGCTACCAATTCTCACATACAAACTGCATGTTTGTATCTAATCCATATATTTACTCATATATAGATACTTTTATAAATTCATTATTTTTGAATCATTTTCCATGTACAAAATACTTTTTTCACATTATGCAACACTTTCAAAACACATATATGTAAAATTATATATTTACTCACAAATAGTTAAGCAATTAATCATATAGAAATGAATTATTTAGTTACCTGACAAAAGGGTTACCATGGTTAAATATTAGCACCACAAGAGTAAACTTGCTCAATGAGCTCGATCAATATTTAATCTACAAGATTAAATACCAATTATCAATTACAACTCTAATTAAATCCCTTTTTCACCTAATTTTGGGTACCCACAATACTTAAAAATCCTACTTAACACTATCAACACTTCTAACACACTCTATTAATTTCATTTAACACCAAAACACTTAGATAAGTACAAACTTTCACCATATTGCTCTTAATTTTTCAAATTTCACTTAGTGTTTCTCCAAACCCTAACTAAAATTTTAAATCACTACAAAATCCTCAAACATAGGTTTAGAAATTTGACTTAACTCCCTAAGGCCCTATCTAAGCCAATAGGTTATATCAAAACCTAAGGCAAAATTAAATGAAGCCTCAATAATACCCAAATCTACCAAAATTTCACATGTAGGTAAAGGGAGAGGTATAGGAAGCTTACCCAAGGATGATTTGTCATATCCTTCTCCTTATAATCCATGTTCAACTCCAATTCTCAGGTACTAATGAGATTGGATTAAGGTAGTTAACATCATATCAAATTTCAAATGGTTTAAAAAGTGGGAATCTCAAGTTTACAAAATTAAAACCATTTTCAAATCCTTTCAATTGACAAAAAAGAATTCACAATTATATGAAAGCATGTAATTATTTCACATATGAGTATATTTGCTAAAGAATTTGAAAACAAGAAAATTATGAAAAATTTTGGGGCGTAGGCTGCTGCTCCTCAAACATGTGCCACAACATGTTTGCTTCTGTGACATGCACTGTAGCTTGTGGCACCATATGCGACGGTGCAATTGCATGAATTTTAACAGTGAATTCTGCTATCAATTTGATAGCTTTTGGGCAACTTCTAAGGCACCCAACTCTTTATCCGATGTCCGATTGAGGTGAACTAAGTATCTATGGAAAGCTCTTTTTGAACTCTAACTAATGGCTTTAGTTTCATAATTAAATTATTACTTAGTCAAAATTTGAACACTCTTTTCAAAACTTGCATTTTTTTCAATACTTTTCACAAAACCAAGTGTCCAATTCAATTACCAAAGGCCAATGGCCATTAATACTAATTTGACCACATGCAAATCATCAAAATTAACTTGTGCAATGCACCATATCACCTTAAATACTCATAGATCATATTTTCACTACTCAATCCCTTAATCTCAAAAACATACAAGGGGGAGTTAAAGTACATTTTTATCAAATAAGTGACCATGTTCTTCGTTTCTTTCCTTGTCTGTTGCATTAGATTTTAAACTTATTATAGCAAAAAAGTGACCATGGGCTGTGACAAACATATAATGTGCTGCGATGCATGGCACAGAGGGCACCTCCAGGTGTGCTACCACGCATGTGCCGTGGCGACTCATCCACAAGCCACGGCGTGTGGCACAGAATCACTTTCTTCAGAAATTCTTCTTCTTTCATTCCTAAGTGACCCAATTCTCCTTTGAACCTGTATTTAGTACTGAAATTGAGACCAAATATGACTGTTAGGCCTCTCTAGCCACGCACTTCACCAATAGACACTTAATTAATCTGATTGGGCTTAGATGATCTGGTTTAAAATCAAGGATGTTACATGATTCTTGACCAAAATGCTCTTAAAATGCTTATAAGCCAAAGCTTTAGTAGACCTCAAGCCCTTATCCATTACCCTCGGCATTTTCTTTCTTTTCTCCCTTCTATTTCAAACATATGTGTGATCTGATATAATCATATTTTCATACATCCACCATAGTGCATAGTGCATCCACCACGGCTAATGGCATAAAGAGACTCAACATGTTTTAGGTCTCTCTCTGTTCCCAGTCCCCTTAAAATCTGAGTTAGCCTTCTTTTGAGACTATCCAATGATCTATTAATCTCATTAATCATCTGAAAATATTATCAACTCATAAATCACTTGATTTTACCAATTTACCCTTATGAACACTTAAAAACTCAGAACACTTAAGAACTCAAAGTTTAAATTTCAAGATGTTACACAGCTACTAAACATAATTTATAATGGCATATTCATCATAACTTATCATAAGAAAATCTTTCACTTCAATCATAATTTTAATACTTGGAGAATAGCAAGATAAGGCCATGAATGTACAAAACAAACTCATAGCAATCATATACAAGTTTAAACAAAA